AAGCAACAACGGACAGAGAAGCTCGACTAAGAGGAGAAGCTCAAGCTCCACCTTGACAGGGACAATGAAGTCTATCGATGGCAGCACAGCATACCACCTTCTCCACTTTCATCGTCGGTAACACAGCAGCAGTTCGGACTCCTCCCTCGATGATAAGAAGAAATCATTTTCTGATAAATGGAAATAATCACATTCCAGATATAAACATAAAGTCATTTAAGTTTGGTTTAAAAAGTTTAGGCAATTACAGGCCTGAAAATCCCCCAAGGCAAATATAGACTAGAGTCTTTATTTAATTAAACACCTTTAACACTAGCTTCAGGCTCCCTGCTCTTAAAAGCCTCCATAAGCAGCAGACTGACGGACCACAGGCAGCACAGGGTATTCAAATTCCTCTAAAGCCATCAGACAGGTGACGAATAAACAAGAAGGGGTCTTAGTGACTTACACCGCAGCTCAGACTGCTTTGCTATTCCATTTATTCGAATAAAGTAAAATGCAGCCTTGTGTGTGCTGTCTGGACTGTGTCATCCATCTAATGCGGCTGCATTCAGGAAAAAAGCGAGACGGAAAACACAGGCTGCATTTTAACTTTTTAAATTGGTCATTTTTATTCATTTCAGACTAAGTGCATTCCATTTTTATTCTTTTTATTTCCTGCCATCAGTCAGCAAAGGAAAAATCCGAGCCAGAGTGTTTAGTAGCAGCTTCTAAAACCTGGAAGCAAAGAAATGTCGGGTAAACACTGTGGAGTGGTTACAATTATAGATGTTTCTGGTTTTCTGGTCCATGTTTCAGTTTCATGACTTTAATTACCATGTACTCATTTCCTTCAACAACATGTAGTCCTTCTCCAGTTTTCCATTGTTCTATTAAAGACTTCTGTGTTATTTCCTCCAGAACACCCACATTTCATCATTGCCTTTTGTGTGAGCACACACCCCCATTTCTCCATTTACTCACCCCCACCCCACCCCACCCCCACCTCCACCTCCCCACCCACCCACTCCGTGTTTGCCCCAGGAGAGCCGAGTGTCTCAGGCTATTTTCTGTTGGAGGAATCGTCGCCACCCCATCCTACATCCTCCCAGCTGAGCACCTGCTTGCGTCAGCACCCATCCTCAGTGTGGTTTTAGCCTCCTGAGTGTTTGGAGCTGCAGTTCTGAGTCGCCCAGTGTTTTATTTACCTTTGTCTTTGAGGGAGACAAACTGAACACACAGGTATTATCACATATGTTTCTCTTTCTGTAAGGTCATCTCATGATTTAAAGCAAAAACCCAAGAGTTTGAATGCTTTACGGAAGCAGAACTGTGAACAACTTCACACTGGACAGCATTCTGTCACCCCCTGGTGACCAGAAAATAAACGCAACAGTTTTGTGGTTGGTAGGTAAACTACAGAAGGTCCCTACCTGCTTTGCAGCTGTAAAGCTAACAGTTAGTTTTTCAGTTAAATAAAAAGCACAGGAAGAAATAAAAGAATATTTTTTGCGGGGGGATGGGGGGGGGGGGATGGGCCGGCAGGCGGGCGGGCGGCATCATGGTGGAGCCTAAAAGTCTTTGAGCTTACGCAAAGAGCTAAAGCCAGAGTGAACATTGGCACGGCCAACAGTAGTTTGAGGAAGCTTAAGGAGGCTATGAAATCCAGGACTGATGGTGACCTGGCTTTGTTGCTACCAGACTTGTAAGTAATAATCTGAACTAATCTTTTCACTTTGTGGCTTATTTGGCTCGTGTTAGCGTTTGCTCATTGTTAATGCTAGCTACAGCAGGCTGCCGCTGGGTTATTTACGACAGTTCTAATTCCATAGGTGGAGCAGCCACCTTAAAAGCAGGTACCCCCGCCCCCTGATGGTGGCTGATCTATTAAACTTAGCATTGATTTTAGATTATCAACATTGATGCTTGATTATAACCTATTATTAGCAGCTCCAGGCCAAAAAAATAAACATTTTTTACTTGCTTATTCCCTGCTGAGACCTTTGGGCGACACTAGCAGCACTTCTCTGCTTTTATGGCAGCGTATGTGTTCTTTATCAGACTAATCAATCAAGTAGAATATTGGCTGTGTCTTTGAAAGTTAATTCAACAATGTTTTTGTGCTGCAAAAATATATATATTTGACACATCTTAAAATAGTCATTTTAATGGTATATTATTTTAATGCTAGTGGGATTAAAGTACATTTGGTTTGATGGTTTATCAAATTTGACCACATGACGTAGAAACACTACCAACACTCAGCTTAGCTCTGAATGGTCTTTCAGCTCCAGAACTCATGATAAATATCACTAATTCACATATTTTACACGAGTCCATCATGAGGGTTCTCTTACAACATTCAGCAGTTTTATGGGCATTTTAATGAAAAGTGTCCAGAGGAGCCGGTGACCTGTGACCACACGGAGTTTATTGTAAGAGAAATATACGTTTCATTCCCTGAAAAGTTACAATGCTTTATCCTGACAGTGGGAATATTGGGAAGTCTGGAAAATTGAAATCCTTTAATAATTAATTACTAGTAAAGCACATCATTTCTTTCTATGCTGCACCCAAAATAGCACCTAACTTTTTATTTTCCTGCACCATTTTCTGTATCACAATGTCTCATGATGTGCAAATGGAAAAACGTCCTTGTGACGGTTCTTTTCAACATAAATTAAGCTGATCTGATACACGAGTAAATCTATAACCCTGCAGCTTCACGGTCACAGGCTGAATTAAGAAGACATCTGCTGTTGGACGAATGAAAAAGCTTAAAAGTACAACGCTCTTGCAAAAGTAATCAACTTGAAAAGCAGCAATTTATCCTATAAATCAATAATTCCAGTTATTTCCTTCTTTTCTGCTCCTTAAAAAGGAATATTCCAGGTATTTATAAAATAGAATAGAAGGTTTCTTCAAATCATGAGAGACTCCACGTCAGCAGCAGCAAGTCGAACGTTATGCACCACCTGCGTAGAAATTCAGCTGTTTTCTATTTCTTTTTTTTTTCATGACTTAAAGGCATTTTGCAAGAACAAGTGCAAACCTACAACCCCTTCAGACATGTTCATGCATCTGCCTGATACACGTCCAGTAAAGTCAGCTGCTGCAGCTTCTAAATAGAAATAGACAAAAAGTTTCATGAAAATCAAGAGAAACTGGTTAATAATCTAAAGTGAAGCTCGGTGAACGAAGCTACCACGGATATTCTCTTAGTAATAACAGGAAAAGACACATAAATCCTCTCATTGCTGTATTCAAACACAAAACCAGCATCAGCAGAGATTCTAGCAAACCCCATGTTTCAAAAAGTCCAAGCATGTCATTTTATCACTTTTGTTTAATTAATACTGAATGGAAACAGGAGAACGCTGCAAAAACGGATGTTCAAGACTGATTTGCTAGAATTCTTAAAACTAGCAAAATAATCAAATGTTAGATTTATTTACTTTTAGGATTTCTAGCCAACCTACAGTTCAATTAATTTTAAGCTGTGCTGTATTTGCAGATAAGAATTTTTCTTTTATTTTAATTTTAGATTTCATTAAAAAATATGTTTTTATTGTCTTGAAAGTCAGTTTTATCAGTGGTCTGTTGACTGGACATTGGATAAATAAGATTTAATAAAACATAAAACAAATCTGACCAGCTCTTTTTCAGATCAAACAGCTTTTAGATTCAGTGCCAACCCGGAGAGAGGAACCCCGGCTCTGTGTGAGGGATCGGACGACCAGCAGAGCTGGATCAGTGCCAGGCTGAGCGAGGCTTGTATAGGACAGGTGGTTTGTTCCATGAAGCCCTCCACAGAGCCCAGCTGATCCTGGAACAGGGAGTGGCTCAGCGTTGGGCTGCTCAGCAGCTGGTTTGGGTTGTCTGCAACTGACACCATGTGTCCGAGTATTTATACCAGCCATGAAGATCTCAGGCTGTAAAGTATCCCTGAGAAAATCTACTGGCACTTTCAATAGACAACCAGATGTCACTGGGGCACTTTTTCTACACACACACACACACACACACACACACACACACACACACAGAGGGAGAGCTCAGAAGATCCTGTGTAGGACTTTGGGAACCGTCTGAGAGCTGCTCAGAGGAGTCCAGGTGTGATGTAGTTCTCTCATTCCCAAACTGTTTCTTCGTGTCAGTCAGAGCACGCGCACGACAGACAAAGAGAATATTTGGATCAGCTGTCAGCGCGCACTGACATAACAAATTCATCCTCCATGAATGGGTTTTGTGATGGAACACACACATATACACACATGTTGGTATTTCTGTTTTAGTGAGGACTTGTGTTCATTTTTGTGGCTGTATTATGCCTAACCCACTCTAACCATAACCAGTGATGATCTATTCCTAATCCTAATCTTAAACTTGATCCACAACATACCTCTAAAACCAACTGGTAAACATTTAAAAACAAGAGGACCACAAAATTGTCCTCACTTTGAAAATTTACTCTGATGGATATAAACTCGTGACAGTATGTAAGTACGAGAACACACACACACACACACACACACACACACACACACACACACACACACACACACACACACACACACACACACACACACACACACACACACACAGAGCAGCTCAAAGAACCGAACCCTGCATCCTCCTCTGCCTCTGCCAACTCTCTGACACGAAGGTTTATCCGCGTGCGCATTTTGCGCACCGACCTGACCGCTGCTCCGAGGAGACGCGTTAATAGAAGCTGAACAAAGAAGCTTGTCACATTTTTGATTGCTCGGGTTGTTTTGAACTTTTCTGATCTGATGACCTAACATGTCCCCAAAAAGTCTCCGCGCGTCTAGATGCGGGTTAAATTGAGATTCCCGGCGGGATGTTCAACGTCTCCGCACAAGTTCTGGGTTCTGGACCAGACCCAGATCAGTCACACACTTTCTAGATTTGGAGGGGTCTGGATCTGGATCCACACAGGTAACAGTCTCACCGCGGACTTTTCCAGTCTGACGGGAACTTTTCTCGTGTGTTCTAGTTACCTGTTGGTCGTTCCATGCTGTCTGCGCAGATCCCGACGGCCAGCATCAGTAGCAGAGCCACTGAAAACATGTTGGCTGATGCTTAAAATTCCAGTTCGGTTCGTCCCAACACGCAAATCCTGAAGGAAAGCGCAGCAGCAGCTGCGGCGGACGGGTGGACTGGAGAGAAGTTGTGCGCTCTGCTCCGTTCGGGGGCGCACCGCCTGCTCCCTCCCAAGCCCGCACAGGGAGCTTCTGATCTCCAGCTAACGCGTTCAAAGGGCCCCCCTTCCTGTAACGGCTCCACTACGTCGGCTCTTTTTGCCTTTTTTTTTTTTTTTTTTTTTGCCTGAATTTGTCTTTAGAAATTATGACGCAGGAATGTGGGTCGGCGGCGCCTCCATGTGGCCAGAAGGCGGATTTAAAGCAGTTTCTATCAAACACCTTAGAGAGTGTCTGCATGGAGCAGGGGGCAGGAGTAGATTAGTTTTGCAGCAAGAGAGAGACCAGATGAAACCACAGTTGAAATATAAAATCAAATTATAGGAGAACTGTTGATATTGAAAGGTCAAAACCAATAAATACCAAAATATCAAAGCTAAAACTGGGCAGAAAGTTTTATAAATGATCACAATGAATTTTTTTAAATAATTATAATATAATTTTTAAGTAGAAATATCGTTTCTTTCTCCTTCCAGAGACACATGACCAGTACCTTCTGGGGTTTCACAACCCCCCCATGGAACAGCCATGCACACATGCACCCACACACTTTCACACACTGGATATGACGAGCTATGTTGTAGCCACAGCTGCCCTAGGACACACTGAACAAAGTGTTTAACATGCAGGCTTAACGTGAAAATAGTCTTCTACACCGCTTAGTTCAGAAAGGTCTTACAGATCTACGTCACACTGTCAAACATTCATAGACTCGCCCATCTTGACTCACGACGGGGCCGGCTGTTGTTGGTTTGGCATCCAAGAAATGGCAGAGAACGTCTCGGCTAATTGAAGCTAATTGTTAGCATTAGCAACTCCACCACCCAGCAGAACTCCCCCAGGCTTTTGTTATTAGTAGAGATAAAAGATCAATGTCGCAAACTATACTTAGTCAGTGGTGCAGTTCCTTTGCTGTTAGCCAATCAGAAGAGAGAGGTCCAAATATCAGGAAATAAGACTAAATCTTGTTGTAATTAAGCTGCTTTCTCCTCAGACTTACTTCTGTATCCTGGAACAGGCGCACCAGAGCTTTTTTTCCCAGAGAAAACCTTACAAAGCATTCACTGCAATTGTATTGTATTGTAATTGTACAGTATGAGTAAAGCTGATCTTTAAAATGTCAGGAAATGGGAAACTGGATACTAATCCAGGAACAGCAAGCCCAGTTTCAAGTGGGGAGAGTGGGAAGAGCCTGCAACACAACCAGGCTCCAGATGGCAAACCCTTCGCCTCCGCTGAGGAGTCTGATAGGACAACAAACAAACTGAAAAATTAGTCAAATGAAAATGTAGCTTTTTCAGTCAGGCTGTGTTTTTGTTTGTAGAATTAACCAAAAATGTCAGCGTTTTAGTGACAGGTCACTGGTGATGAAGTTTAACGGTCCTGCCTGAAAACCTGTCCATGTTTTGTATTAACATAAAACTGGTGAGTTCAGGTGCTGTTTTCAATGATTCAGAAGTTAGAGTAAAGAAAATCACTTGAAAAGGATCAGATACAATTCAACCCAAAAATATATATATATAAAATATATATGACAATCATTTTGTTGTCCTTGGATCTTTTTGTCCAAAGACAAAAGTTTCCAGACTCCAGATGGATCACAACATCGATGAGGTTCCATTAAATCACCACACCCCAACTCCCGAGGAACGCTTCACTCAGCCTTCACTCTGAGAGCGTTTTTGGCTTCCAGACTCGCTTCTGCTCGGCTCTTTCTTCCCATTGTTATGCTAAAAAGCAACAGATTATATTCTGACTCACTCCTGCTGAGGTAATGAGAAAGCAGGACCTCGCCAGAAGCTGTCTATGCAGCGACTGCTCTCAGGGGTGATAAATATATATTTCATTAATATGGTGCAGAGCGTCGGCTTAGTTAACACGCAGGTATGTGGTGACACAGATGGACCTAGACAGCAGTTCAAGACAGATTAAAGATCTGTGATGGTGTCAGCTGCTCTGTCTCTTCAGCTGGCCTCTGACTTTCTACTGGGAATTGTTTCAATTAATGTTTTATTAATATTGTTATCATTTAACAAGAGTTATGCATTCTCTAAAACATTTAAACAACAGACCTCTGTTTTGGTTTAAGTCCAAGTGCATGCTTCTTATCATTCCAGGGAATACAGTTAATGTCCCAAATAGCAGGTGAACGCTTGATTTACAGTTTGTCTACAGCTTTGACTAAAAGTTTGACCAAATTCAAATGTTTACTGCATTTGTGAAGAAGGTTGTAAGGTGTCCAGGAACGTCCTGTAGGATTCAGCTGCAGGACTGGAGCGCAGCCAGTGCAGAGCTTGCTGAGGTTTGACAGAAGGCAGGTGTGAATGTTTCTGCAGCACTGTCGGAAGATGGCCTGGTGTCAAGAAGGGCCGCAAAGAAGCCACTTCACTCCAAGAAACCCATCAGAGGCAGAATGATATTCTGCTAAAGGTCCAGGAATTGGACTTGTGAAGACTATGGACTGTTTGGAACATCTGGAAAAACTAATTTCATCAGTAAAGCATATTGAGACAATTCATGCATAGGTTTATTTTTTCAGTCAAGAGATCAGACTCACTCATATTTTAGCTCATCAGAACAAAAACCATGAAAAAAGAATGGTACCGAACCATCCTCCAAGCGGAACTCCTCCCAGGAAACTCACCAGGTTTATGTTCAAACCAAACGAGGTGGGTGGGCAAACAAAACCCCACAAATTCCAAGTTTTTTTCATGAAAAATGGGCTGCCATCAGCAGGGATTCAGTCCCGAAGCTTACTGACAGCAAGCCAGGCTGAACTGTAGGGATCTTGAAAAAGGTCTGACACGGCAAAAACGGTCTCTGCATCAACTAAACACAATTAGCAAAAAAGGCTTTGAAACGTTTGGAATTGTAATTTTACTTCAATAACCAAACGGTAGTTATGGCGCTGGCTGCACAAGACTGTGATTTTAAAGAATATCTTTTAAACAGGAAAAACGTTAAATTAGCTCAAAATGTATCAAAACACAAACTAAAATGATGAAAATATATAAAGTATAGAGAGAACTTTCTAACATTTTAAAGCATCAAACATGAACGAAATGTTGATCGGACCTAGTCAAACATATTGGGTTTTTTGTATTTAATATGAACGTTCACATTAAACAAAGTATTTAGTGAAAAGAAAAGAAAAGGAGGTCATACATTTATAATCACATTAGTTGTTATCATCAAGTAAAAAAACATAAAAAACTACTCTAGTATTTATTCCATTGTTTTTAATATTTGGAATTAATTACAAAAACATCTGCTTCTTATAAAGTTATATAACCTCAATAAATCTGAGTCCCTATTTCTGTTATAATCTTGTTATAATATTATAAATAAATTGACTAAAACCCACATTGTTGCGCAACAATTAGTTTTATGAAATATCCTGGACTCTGTTCTGTAGGTCTAAACATCTCTCGGCCTAAAGGTGGAATCTGGACTGCTGCTGCATTGACTTGGCCCAAGCTGACAGAGTTTTAAACCCAGAAAGTTGGAATTGATGTTGTAATGATGGCTGAGCTGTACCAACTGTCCCTGTGCAACATTCCTTGATCCTCTTGTCTTCGATTCTCGGCATGATCGATCCAAATTGGGAAGACAATCATTTGGGTGATGCTGGTAGGGTTTTTTTCTAAATATGTCTTGTTTGATCACTGAGCCTTTTATGTCCAAACGTGTTGCTGAGTGACAATGTCTATTCGATAGCTGTTAAATCTGTGCCTTGGCCCGTGTCCACTTGGCTGTGGCTTTGAATGGCACCAAGCCATGCTACTGCTCACTACCTGGATGACTGACTGCTTCAAAGACAGGAAGAGCAGGAGTGAGGCTCTTTATCACCTCCTGTCCATGAAAAATTGATTTTGTTGCCTTGGGCCTTTTAAAACGTGTCTGGGAGATATTTATTTTCTTGGAGGACAATATTGGTGGGGCACATGGCGAGCTTGCCTCAATTGCAAAGCTGCAATTTTTCTGTGTCAATTTTTAAACCATTGGAGGAGTGTAATGTATTCATGTCAGTGGTATAAGGTCTTGAATAATGATAACTCCATCTATGCTAATGTTAGCAGCTAGCTCATGAAGTGTATGTTAGATGTTTATAGCTAGTGATGTTTCTCAGATTAACTTATCTTATATTATAGCTGAAAACTGGAACGATGATGACATATGCTAAGTTCAGAGCTTCTTTTCCTTACGTGACCTTCCAAAGGAATTTGCACAAAACCCTCCATTAATTTGTCCTCTGATGAGCTAACAGCTAATCTGAGCCAGGACCAGTTCTTTAAACAGCACACCGTGGTGGCAGATCTGGGTAATATTGATACCAGGTTGTGTCTTCTGAAAGCAGCTTGGCGATGCAGGAATATTGCAGCATTCATGCCACCAAGCTTGATGGTAAGGTTGCTGCAATGCTGGACTTCTAAATAAAGATGGGGGGGGGCTTGGGGAGAAATTATGACACGTCTCTAAATAACAACCCATAGAAGCACTGATTTGATCTCATTTCAGAGAAAAATAGAACAGGTTAGATGCACCTAATAAATAAAATTACTAACAAACTCGTCTGTTTCTTAGCTTCAGTGTTCTGGTGCTGAGAATATCACTAATGCAGATCGAAGGAGATACACAGATGAATGCACCTCTTATTTATCATTTGGAGACTACATTTACTGCAGCTGGCAGAGGCAGATATTTTTTCTATTGATACACGGATTTACAGAATCATTTTAAATGTTAATAGGGGAAGACTGCAGGAGGGAGCGGTAAAATACAGGGGGTCCCCAGCAAAAACAAGAAACTTTACGAGTCTGATGAAACCCGCTGGTTTTCCATCAGGCAGTCACGGGGCAGCTCCAACGACCCAGTGGCTGTGCTGGGTCAATGTTATCGAGCTCAGTCTGGCTCGGCCGTGAACGAGCCGAGGCGACGTCGTGCTCTGCTTAAGAAGAGGTGTTATTTTCCCGCTTTAGAAGAAGCGTCCAACGTGTTTTTACGATTTCTCCGAGACATGTCACGTCGCTAAGTTGTTAGCGCCGTGCGCTAACACGTCAATAGTGCAGCGTAGCCGGCTGG